ACTCATGATACCATGAAAAAGCCATTTACTTATCTTCATCTGTATGTAAATTTCGTACCTGTTGCCAGCTCCATGGGTGGCAGTCCTCTGTCCACCAAAAAAAGCCAGTACGGAGTCACTGAGGGGGGCCACAGTCTGACCGTCATTCTGTATGAGATCTCCAATCAGTTGCATCTGCCGCTCCTAATTAAATACACATTCCTTTTAGTAATTAAATTCAAAAGTGGAGAATGCTAAAGAAATTCTGTAGTTTCAAATCTGGCAACATACAAATGTAAAATGTTTATTCCGGGGTAGGCAACCTTGGCACTCCAGCTTTTGTGGAACTACCAGTCCCAAAAGCCATTGCAAGACCGACAGCCAACGGCATGACGCGCAGAGGCATGATGGGATTTGTAATTTCAGCACAGCTGGAGTTTTGAGGTTGCCTACCCCTAGGTTAAATGTATAGGCAAAAAACAAAAAAATTACCCATAGGTCCTTACTCCTTTTTTTACATCAAGAAAATGGACAAATAAAGCTCCATCAACAGACTTGCATTGAAAACAATATACCCCGGAGGGCGGAGGCGTCTTCTGCTTCAATAGCTTTTTCTTCCAGTGGTTATTCAGCAATTGTCTGACCTAGAGACCTCCACTAGGGGGAGGATCTGCAAATCTACATGACTAGGGCAAGGCTTAGGTTCTCTTTTTTACCTACCCCTGCTACGCCAACCACCAACCCCCCTTTTTCTTCCTTATCTAAAACAACAGGCCACACAGTATTGGATATAAATTGGCTGTAGCAGCCCTTTATTACAAATATGTAAACATTAACAAATCCATATAAAAAACTTTCATTAACTAATTATGTGTGTGTCCATGTGTACATATATATATATATATATAATTTTGTATGTATGTACACATGGACACACACATAATGAGGTCCGTGAAGGCCCCATTACCTTACAACAACCATCTCTGCATACCTTTTACCAAGGCCCGTTGCCGCAATGCACCGACTCAGGGACAACACACAGAATTACAGAATTGATGCAGAGACATTTTACAACTTACCACCATACACTGCCTTCCAGGACCCCCAGACCATGTCATACATGTAAACACACCCAACATTACAGACAAACAAAATCAGAAAGGGGCGGGTGGGCAGGAAGTTCATTTGCCGTGTGCTGTCTCCAACTGACCAGGGAAAAACTCAGCCTTCTCAAACCACTGGGAAGCCCCTCCTGGACCACCTATGAAATCGGCCAATCAGGTACGTACCCCTTTTATTTTAAAGAAAAACACTTGACCTTGACCCCTCCTTTTGATTACAAGTCCACCCTGTCATGTAGTCCCTCCGCCTATTTTGTTCCTGTCTTTTGCTCCGTGACTATCTTAATAAATATATTTACAAAAACATGGCTCGGCAAAAAAGAAGATATATACCATTACACCAAAAACGTTACTCTCCTGTAACCTTTTAAAAAATTATTTGAAATGATTACTCATTAAAATATATATAATGGTTTCCCTATAAAACAGAGCCGTCACATAAAAGTGAAACATCTCCCATTAATGTTACAGCCAGAGTAATAGTGGAATTGCCCTGTGCATTGACGATCACAATTCATGCAAAACATTGGCTGCAACTATGCTTCTCCTTCCTCACAATAAAAAGGGATGACCTTGCTTGTTTTGGGTTGCAGGCCATACCTGTGATTTTACCTTAGTGAGTTACTCCCTATATCTCAATCTACATTCCTGACCAGTGAAAAACCCAGAAAATGTGGGTGGGTGCTAAAATGACAGAGGATTCCAGGTAAAGAAAGGTGACTAGCACTCCAGCATAAATACAAGTGAATATTTATTGATTTATTGACTAAGTGTCACATCATCACAGGCGATGTTTCGGAACCGCATGGTTCCTTCCTCAGGCAAAACAGAGAGTGATAGCCAATCACAGCAGTAAGCCCACCTCCAACATTAGGATCCCCATAGAGGGCCATCAGGAGTAACAGTAAGGGGTTACAAAGAGCATCTAAAATCTGTTCTTAGCCTGAAAAAAAGAATGCAGAAACCACATCTAAGGGCTACAATATATTTGTTCTTGTGTTTAGGAAGGTAAGGTTAGCTAGAGACTCAGACTTTGTCTGTGGGAGATGTGGTTAAACTTTGGGTTGGAGATGCCCATATGTTCAGATGCCTTGGATAAAGTTAGGTACATCTTTCAATGGGAGTATATGTTTAGAGACTGTAGGGTCATGCTGGAAAATCTGACAGCCCTTTGATGTCTATAGCACCCTCAATGTGAACCAACGCTTGGTATGTGATCACTTGACTGTAGGGACCCACAAGGTCCCAATACGTTACTCTCTCTGTTGCCTTTACCTTTAGAGGTGCTCTGGCTGGGCTCACTTTTAAGTCCATCTCTGGGCAAGTCCAATTTTTAACCCTCACTCTCCTCGCACTGCTCTAGGATATTGTAGAGTTCATGTTTTAATCAAAAAATGGATTCCTCACAGTCTTCATTTCTGCTGAACTCTCACTTCATTTGAAGGGCTTTGTCTGGGCTTCAAGTCAAGAAGGTGTCACTACCAAATCCCTCTGTCCCTCGTTCCCCCTCAGTTGGCCCTCTTTTTAGTCTGATGTTCAGATATCTATGTAGAGGTTTAATTTAACTACCAAAAGTGTCCTTCTGCACTAAAACCAGTGGTGGAACTATCGCCATAGTGACCCAGGCAGCAGCTATGGGGCCCCAGGGCACAGGGGGGCCCGGCTAGAACAAGAAACAAAAGGGGTCCCCCTGATGCCATGCAGGCCACCTTTGTCGCTATGGCATTTCAAGCTGCTGGCTGTCACTGGCGGCTGTGAAAAGGAACGCACTTCTGTTCAGATCGCTGACAACCTGTCAGTGATCTGTGCAGCGGCGTGTTCCTCCTCAAGCCGCTGCTGACTCAGTGACAGCCAGCAGGTGCGGAGGAGGTGGGGCCAGGCAGCGGAGAAGTAGGTGGGGCCCAGTGGCAACCGAGGAGGAGGGCCTGGCGGTGGAGAAGCCCGACAGCGGATCGGGGCTGACATGTAAGAGGTGTGCAGGGGTGTGACCGGCACACCTGAGACCCTGCAGAGCCCACCATAGACCGTCTATGGTGGGCTCTGCAGGGTCACTCAGGTGGGTTGTGTGGGATCTCAAGTGGGCACTGCAAGGGGCATAACTAGAAAACACAGGGCCCCATACAAAATGTTGCTATGAGGCCCTGTGATTTCTAGTTATGCCCCTGGCTAAAATCTTCATCATATCTCTTAATTACGGTATCTTGTTTGTTATTTTGAAAATGTGTTATCAAGGAAAGCAAAAGCAATTGGTGGAAAATAAACTTTTTCAGGTTTAGACAATAATTTTTAGCATATAAATTCTTAACGGTCTGCATAACCGGGGGGCGTGGTGTGTGGGGGGGGGGAGGGATGTCCATTACCTAAATACATCATGACACAAGGTGCCCCTCTTTCTCATCTCAGAAAGTTGGGAGGCATCTCATCTATTGTCCATTCCCTATTGAGCACCCCTACAGAGCCCTCATTTATTCCCCATACACATCCATAAACCGGGAAAGGAAGTTAGATATAAAAGCTTCTCGCCTGAACAAAGAGACGAGATAATCCGTTTAGCTCACAAATCTTCCTTAAGTATAAAATATCAGAAAATGGGTTTTCAACGGTTATCCTCCTCGAACAAAGTCCCCTCAACCTTGCACAAAGTCCTCTCCGCACGCTGGAGATGTAACCAAATGGTAGATCTCTGTCTACGTATTTTTTGGGTGCGCTCTAAATGATCTTTTTAGTTGAAGGTAGCAGACATTATACAAATTTCTTACCAATTCGGATTTCCCCCATAGCATCTTATCAAAAAGAAAATAAAGATTACGTTGGCATTTTGCCAAACTCCGTGCAGATAAAACTAGTGCAAATGAATGCAGCTTTGTATTCACGAATACATAATTAATGTCTATCTAAAGCCAAAACCTTTTTTTATTTTTTATGGATACAGAGTAGAACCACTGTCAGGTTTTTATTGCTGGACGTCGCCACTGGCCAGCCACATGAGGTCTTTGCCCTTAATTCCACTTTTTCCCTTCCAGCCGTTAGGACGTCAGTGGTGCTCTTGGTAGGATTGTGCATTGAGACTGGGCCAAGCTGGTGATGAACCCCCAGGGGGTGTGTCCATGACAGCCCAGGCTACCAGAGAGTGGGTTGAGGGACATAGGCCGTCATTGAACCCAGAAGAGAACTGGTGAATGGCAGTGGAACAGAGTTATTGCTGGAAGCAATATGATGGAAAAGGCTTGTTGCACTCCTTACCGGAAAGTCCCGTAATCAGGGGAGGGTGCTCGGAATGACTGCGGTTGGCGCCGCCAATTGCACACAATATGAGAAATGTCACCAGCACACCGAGTTCCTTCAAGAATAATCAATCGTTGGTTTATTGAAAACTTTGACATGAGTTTGACATAAGTTATCAATATACTGACGATTGATTATCCTTGAAGGAGCTTGTTGTGCTGGTGACATTTCTCATATTCAACACCGGAAGCAAGGCTAGGATCGCAACAGCCTACATGTTTAGGCTAATGCTCTTCAGATTAAGTTGAACTGGACCGGGCCAAGGACAACACCATGCAAAGAAAACTTACCACCGTCTGCAGCTCAGTCTCCACCCTCTGGCGCCTCTTCATCTCCACATCCACCTGGTTGCGGGCGTGTTTCAGCTTCACCTGCAGCGCTGAGCGCTCAATCTCACATCGGAGCAGCAGTTCCTGCTTCTCCCTCAGTACCTTCTCTGCCTGCTGCCACTTCCTCCTCGAAGCTTCATAGCTGTGAGCAACCTGGATGAAGTCTGAAAATAATAATTACAAAAAAAAAGACATTGCAAAAATTAAAAGATTAAAATATAGCAGTTTTTGGGAGCTCCTTAAAAAGGAGAACTATGAGGTGAGTGAAAAATCACTTATCCTCATAGTTCTAGGCGACCTGTGACAATGAAGCTGTCACAGGTCGGCTCAATAGATCGGGAAGTGAGCGAACACATACTGTCTCTCACTCACTTTTCGATCCTGTCCCTGCAGAGAGCCATGACTGTCACGGCTCCCTGCAGGGACTCCCCCTCCCGTCAGATCCTCCAGCGCTGACTCGAAGAACGGACGGGGGAGGGGGCGGTTACAGCTGGCTCTGCCGCTAGATAGGCAGAGCCAGCTGTCACTCACACAGCTGGGTGGATCCAGACACCATTGTCGGGATCCTTTCCGGCTGCGGCGTCTCAGTATACCGCGAGCTCTAGCTGTAGCTTATTGGTGACAGGAGGACGCTAGTTTGTGTCCTCCCGTTACCCTCAGGAGAACTATGGGGAAAAGCCCTGACCCCATAGTTCTCCTTTAATGCCATTTCGGGTCCGTTAGCCATATACATCTATTACTAAAGCTGCAATTCGGAAATTCGGATCCCAAATGCCATTGGGGTCTGGGAGCCTCAGCTTTAGCAATAATATCTGTATCTGGTTTTCTGCGGTATTCGCAACGAATATTCGTAAACTCATCCGAAACGAACGAAAATTCTGATTTTGCCCGAATCTGAAAGCCGAACCAAATTGAGTTTCGGATCCATAGTATTTGAGGTTGAATAAAGACATAAGTCCATCAAGTGCAACCTATTGCGTGCGTGTATGCACATTCGTTATCCGAATCCCGAAATAACGAAATATCCACATTTTTCCGCAGCTTACATGTCTACAATGTAATAAAAGTGTATATGATGTTAAAAAGGAATTTACCATCCTCCACAGCCACGTTAAACTCGATGAGCCTCAGTAGGCGGTCGAAGTAAGACTGCAGGGCTTTCTTCCGTGACTCCCCCATCCTGTTCCACAAATAAAAGGATATTGAGTGCACACTACAAAAATCACACCATTTGCAGCACCAATGTTTCACCCCAAACACTGCAGAACATCCCAACACGTTGCAGTTCATTCAAGGTGTATCAAATCTAAAAGGCATGTAACGAGTCACAGTTTGATTCCCCAATAAAGCAGCCACAGAGTAGAAAAGAGCGTCCCCTGCCAGCATGCTGCAGGATAGGACTGTTGATCTCTGTTGGGAAGCAGTGGTTTCTCCGCAGAGACCTAACACACACACACACCCCTGGCTTTGTCAAAGCTAGAGCCTTCCAGCCAGCAGAGAGGGGAGCACGAGAGCTATATTTATTTTTATTACAGGTATTTATATAGCGCCGACAATTTACGCAGCGCTTTACATAGTGCACATTCACATCAGTCCCTGTCCTCAAGGAGCTTACAATCCAAGGTCCCAATCTCACAGACGGGGCCAATTTAGACAGGAGCCAGTTAACCTTCCAGCATGTCTTTGGAGTGTGGGAGGAAACTGGAGAACCCGGAGCACACACAAGCACAGGGAGAACATGTAAAATCCATGCAGATAGTGTCCTGACCGAGATTTAAACCGAGGACCTCTGGTGCTGTAAGGCAGAAGTGCTAACCACTCATCACTGTGCTGCCCATTTGATTTACTGGGGCCGGACCTCTGCAGAGGGACCACTGCTTTCCCACAGAGCGCAAGGGTTGTACCCCTCAAACTGCTGGCAGGAGACAGGCTTTTCTATGCAGGTTGAGAAAGTGAACTGATCCCTGCACACCTTTTGATTTGATGCCCCTGGAATGTATTTATCGGATTTAAACTAAAAGTTCAATTGAGCTTTAATTAGGTTTTTTGTTGTTGTTGTTGAATTGATCTGTTTATTGTCCTAGCTGCGTGCGAACTTCCATTCCCTATGTGACTGCGAACGGCTGACATCTTTGCTTTATCTCACTACAACTCTAGCAGACAGAATGTGACAGAACACAAGGACATGAGGCATTTGTTTCCTGGTAGCCAGATTTAATAAAAATGATCAGTTGTCGGAAACTCCGGGCATTGGTTAGCAAAAACTGCAATTGGCAGCAGGCCGCGCACGCCAAGGTGACCATTCATCACCGCAATAAGGTGCATTCACCGATGGCATGTCTTCATACCCTAGCCCCGGCTGAGACACATTTGCAGCCACTCAATCATCATCTACAAATGTAACTCTTTAACAGGAGATTCAGATCGAAGTAACATTTGTCATATGTATTACACAGCCAATGTTACATTCCTCGGCAGGGAGGGCTGTGAAAGTGCATGTCAAGTCAAAACTTTATTAGTTTTGGATGGGGGGGCGGGGGGGGTGTCAGCAACGGAATGGTAGCAACCCCTGTTGGGTTTTAAATAGAGATGTGCACAGCAAACAAAAATTAGTTGAAAATGGAAACAAATTTTAATGCTGTTTCGGAGGCAAACGAACCGCCAGCGCATTCTGCACATGCGTGCCACCGTTTTGGTACATCTTGGTATGCTCCAAGATGGCGGCACCCGAATATGTGGGCGCCACCATCTTGGTGTATACCAAGATATACTCCAAAATGGCAGCACGCACAGAACTCTCTGGCGGCCGATGTGGCTGCCGCTTGCTCTGCGAACAACGTCACCCATGATGTGGCTTCATGTGACGTTATGCACCCCGCCTCCAAGATGGCGGTGGGCATGCACAGAACACGCTGGCAGTCGATGTGGCCGCCGCTCGTTCTGCAAACAACGTCACCCATGATATGGCGTCATTTGACGTTATGCACCCCGCTTCCAAGCGGGCATGCGCAGAACGTGCCGGTGCACAACATGGCCACCGCGCATTCTGATAAATATTTATATGCCCGAATATGGTTTTAGTATATTCGGGCATATAAAAAAATTTGTTATTTCGGATTCGGATGAACCGCCGAATCAACTGAATTTCATTGATTTGCAGGTTCATCCGAATCCGAGTGCACATGTCTGGTTTTAAAGTTGTATTAAAGTCTCAAATTTTCCCCAGATCAAACAAATATACATCACCCAGCAAAGTATTTCTTTACATTTGTGCCCAAGCACTAACAGCCATCATGTTTCCAAACAGCTCAACTCGTATAAACCTCTTGACTTTAACTGCTATTCAGGTTCCCGTTAGAGAGATTTCCCCTCACTTCCTGTTTTGCTGACAATGTTTTACCAGACAGGAAGTGAGGGGGATTCTTCAACAGTACCTTAGATTTTTATTTCCATCTGTGTCCCTGCTGCTGATTTCCCCTTACATCCGGTAACAGAACAGGAAGTGAGGGTGAATGTCTCTAACAGAGCCAGTAGCAGTAAAAAACAAACAGACAGGGGTTCTAATTGGACAGCACACTAACATCTAATACAAAACAAAAAATAAATAAAAAAGTAAAACAAAAAAAACAAACCAAAACTGTAAACACTTAAGGTGTATGTCAAACCAAAAACATTTTGAATGGCAAATTGTTCCCTGCATGTGGGGGGGGGTCCTTCCTCCTGGACTGAGTGGCATTCACATAATAATGTGTGAGAGCCACGCAGTCCATAAATACTGTGGGCCTGGACTGCTTGAAGACATGCCCCCCAGGGGGGTGAGAAGGGGGGAGTGTCCATGACCAGCCTGGGCCCAAAAGAAGTGTGGGTGTCAGTCAACAATGGACACCTAACGGTGGAAAATAAGTCTTTTTAAAGGGCAAGTTTACTTTTTTACAAATAAATACAAATTTGACCTCTCCCCCCAACTCTTTTACACAGAGGACACACTCCCGCTGCCCACACCAGCCAGTGTAATCGGCTGCACACTTTACTACTAAGCACCAGAGGCTACATAGCATTATAATGGGCAGCACAGTGGCTTAGCGGTTAGCTTTGGCTTTGCAGCACTGTAGGTCCCCGGTTCAAATCCTGGGCAGGACACGGTCCACAAGGAGTTTGCATGCTCTCCCTGTGCTAGTGTGGGTTTCCTCCGGGTACTCTGGTTTCCTCCCACACTCCAAAGACATGCTGGAAGGTTAATTGGCTCCTGTCTTAATTGGCCCCGTATGTGAGATAGGGGCCTTAGATTGTAAGCTCCTACAGGGCAGGGACTGATGTGAAAGTGCACTATGTAAAGCACTGCGGAAATTGTCAGTGCTATATAAATACCTGCATTAAAATATAATAATGCTGGGAATGGCGATTGGTTATTGGACCACATTTGAAGCCATCATGAGGATCTCTTCCGAGCCTTTTTTCTTCCAGGAGAAAGAAGAGATTCTCATTGGTCCCTTTGCCCTTTAAATAGGTCCAAGGCTGCAATTTAAAAAGGAGACCTATGAGGTGAGTGCTTTTCACTCACCTCATAGTTCTAGCCGACCTGTGACAATGAGACTGTCACAGGTCGGCTCAGTAGATCGGGAGGTGAGCGAACACATACCGGCGTTCGCTCACCTCTCGATCCTGTCATGGCTCTCTGCCGTGACAGGGGAGGGGCTGGATTCCCCCCTCCCCGCTCCGATCCCCCAGCGCCGACTGGCCAAACGGACAGGGAGGGGGCGGGTACAGCTGGCTCTGCCTCTAGATACCGTAGGCAGAGCCAGCTGTCAGTCATGCAGCTGGGCGGATCCCGGCACAATTGTCGGGATCCGCTTCAGCTGCGGCGTCTCAGTATACCCCGAGCTACAGCTCGCGGTATACGGAGTCTAGGGTGACGGGAGGACGCTAGTTTGTGTCCTCCCATTACCCTAAGGAGAACTATGGGGAAAAGCCCTGACCCCATAGTTCTCCTTTAACAAAAATAAATCCACTTTAATGGATGGCGAAAATGTTTTTAGCCATTAAACAAGAAACAAGAAAAAAAAAGTCCTTATTATGAAATCAAACAGAACCAGTATTTCCACATCTATACTCTTATTGAACATATTCCCAGAATCCTGTGCCATGGAAATCCAGAGGCCTGACAGCGGGAGCCGCCTGAGCACGCTCAATGAAATAGACCCGGCTACTTTTAGCGTTGGCGTTTTCGCAGGCAGACCTCAATCAAGAGCTGTGTTGGAAGACCCGTATGTACAGTGATCGTTAAGTGGGACTGCAGGAGTGAGCGCGCCTATAGGGAGCTGTGCTATTCGCGGCGTGCTAGAAGGGGGTTAATGCACATCGGCAGGAGGGGGCGAGAGGAGTCGTACAGGGCACCAGCACAGCTCCCGGTCACGCCAGGAACTCCGATCTGCATCCACAGCATATGAGAATGGAATATTCACGGAGCCGTTTTTAAAAAGTAACAACACTTACAAAATAATATTATATAAAAAAAGTATCAGATTTAAAAGAACTCCGGGAATTAAAAAAACAAACAAAAAAAATATACCCTTGCAGTGGAGCTACCCGTACGCTGCACGGGTTAAGTGCTCATTTTGTCTAGGTGGGGGTGGGGGTGCTGAAACAGAGGAGATACCCATCTGATCCTTTGGTCCTGCTGGGTTGCCAGACCTGTCCCTGCAGCCTCTTCTCCCCTGGGCTCCGACGGCTCACCCTAAGTTCAGTATACCGCGAGCTACAACTCACTGCATACTGAGACGCCGCAGCTGAAACGGATCCCGACAATTATGTCTGGATCCGCCCAGCTGGGCGAGTGACAGCTGGCTCTGCCTATCTAGAGGCAGAGCCAGCTGTACCCGCCCCCTCCCC